AACCCTCCATATGTCAAGGGGGCCTTCAGAATTGAAATCAGCTTTCCAACAGAGTACCCATTGAAACCACCGAAGATCACATTTAAAACAAAGATCTATCACTCAAACATCGATGAAAAAGGCAGATCTGTCTGCCAGGAATTAGTGCTGACTACAGACACCAGCAACCACACTGACCTAGTAATCCAGCCCCTCCAGCACTGGTGAATGACCCCCAGCCCGAGCACCCATTCCAGGCTGACCTAGCTGAAGAATACCCTGAGGACTGAAAAAATTCTATGAGAATGCGGAAGAGTTTACAGAGAAATATGGGGAAAAGTGACCTGTGGACTAAAATCTGCCATGATTAATTCCAGCAAGTGTGAGCAGAGAACCCCAAGAGGTGCGTTCAGATACCCTGCAAAGCAGGACTCTGGAAGGTTGACACGTGCTACCGCCTGGCGTTTGCAGCAATTACTAACTTTCTGCACTTTTCTTTATCAAAAAGGGTCTAAGTAACCTGTAAAGAAAGGATTAAAAATTTAAGATGTTCTAAAAAAGAAAAACACACTGGGTGCTCATGTGTTCATGCCCAAAATCGCAAGAGAAGAATGGAGAAGAGACTGCAGTGTGGCCATCCCTTCTGTGCTTTCTCATTTCTACACCCGCCCCCGCAATCTCTCTCTGGCAAGTGCATGTGCCCTATAGCAAAATTTTAAAAATAAAATCTTCTCAGGACCAGCAGTTGGCATAATGGCTGTGTCACTGAACTCCCACATAGTCAACCATGGTTCAAGTCCCAGACCTGGTAACTTAAAACTCATGCTGGGCATGGGTTCGTGAGTGCCTAAGATCCTGAGAGGAAAATGGAGGAGAAGGGATTGTGATGTGGCCATCCCTCTCGGGGGTGGTTTCTCGCTTTCTGTCTCTCTGTCTGGTGCACACATGCACCCTATAGCAAAAATCCCTTTCTAAAAAACACATCCTGGAACCAGCCGGTGACATAGTAGTTACATCACTGAACTCCCATGTAGTCGACTGTGGTTCAAGTTCCAGATCTGGCGGCTTAAAGGGCACATGTGTGTGCATGCCTGAGATCCCTGGGGAGAATGGAGACGGGATTGCAGCATGGCCATCTCCCCGGTGGTGATTTCTCTCTGTCTCACTGGCAAGTGCATGTGCCCTGTAGCAAAAATCTTTCTCAGAAAATCCTTTTTTTCTGATTCATGTTTCAAGATCAGTTGTTGTATTTGCCCATCTCTATTTTCCCCTTTAAATTCATGAACGGAGAATTCAGTTGTTTAATATAGAGTGGCTTGGGTTTCCTTGGTATGTGATGTTTTATTTATCCTTAATGGTAGTGTTGATTCTGGGTTCTTAGTACCTAAGAGGTGTGTGTCAACTGGCAGGCCTCACTTTTAGTGTTTACAGGTAGGAAACAGGCAAGAAAACCATCTTCTTTTCGATAGTGCCCAATTAAGGATCATTTTATGAGACACACATGCCCATGGTAGGAACCCTGGTTTTCCCTAGGCAGACTGTTCCAACCTCTGGTTTTATTCTGAGGATAATACCATGCCATATGTAAATAAATGCTTCATTTGGTTACCTTGATTTCTGCCACACTGGCTACTTCACAGCCCAGTTGAGAGTCCCCTTGGCAGCACTAAGTACCAGAATAGCTTCTGCTTTTGTTGCAGCCATCTCTTTAAGATGTTCTAAAAAAGAAAGCATGTCCAAGATCCCGAGAGGAGAATGGGGGAGAAGGGATTGCAGCATGGCTGTCCTCCCTTGGGGGGTGATTTCTCACTTTTCGTCTCTCTGTTATCTCTCTGTCTTTCTGGCAAGCGCACGTGCCCTATAGCAAAAACCTCTCTAAAAAAATAATAAATAAATAAAAAGAAAACCTTTTTTTTTTTTTTTCGGAGAGGTGTGTTTTTTGCTATAGGGCACGTGCGCTCGCCAGACAGACAGAGAGAAAGAGAGAGACAGAAAACAAGAAATCATCCCAGGGGGGATGGCCATGCCCCAATCCCTTCTCCTCCATTCTCCTCTCGGGATCTTGGGCACGCACACACACGCGCCCGGCGTGAGTTTAAGCCACTGGGTCCGGGACGTGAACTGCAGTCGACTACGTGGGAGTCCAGCAACATAGCCATTACGCTAACTGCTGGTCCCAAGAAAACCTGTTTTTGAAAAAGCTTTTCTCAAAAAAAAAGGGGGGGGGGGCTATTCTGCAATAATGAAGTTGCTGCATGCATTGCCATGGGACAAAAGGATAAAATAAATAATAGATGACCAACATTTTTAAAAATTACCTATTTTAATTTTATTTATTCCTTCCTTTATTTTAACTTGACCAGAGAGAGACACAGAGAAAGAGAGGGAAAGTGAGAAAGGGAGCCACCAGGTTCGGGACTCAAACTATTGTCGGCCATGTGGGAGTGTCCAGTGCCTTAACCACCATACCACCTGCTGGTCCCCGACCAACTTTCTCCTGAAAAAATTCTTAAATATTTTCCTGTCCCCAGATGTTTTCAAGATCAAGAAGCAGGACAAGTGCTGATAATGCAAAATGAAGCAGAGGTACTAGTTAATATTGGTAGTTCTGATTATGAGATTGAAAATGAAGATAGCTAGTGTCATTGTGCCTTTCGCCAAGCAAAGTAACCTCAGAATTAAGGTTTTATATCACTTGAGAATGCAGCCACCTTATGGCAAAGCTAGGGCTAAGAGCGCTACTTTTCTATGATTAGTAATTCTTTTTTCTGGAGAGGTTTTTGCTATAGGGTGCGTGCACTCTCCAGAAAGACAGACAGACAGAGAGACAGAAAGTGAGAAATCACCCCCCCAGGGGGAATGGCCACACTACAATCCTTTCTCCATTCTCCTCTCAGGATCTTGGGCACACACGCACATGCACCCGGCTTGAGTTTAAGCCACTGGGTCCATAACTCGAACCACTGTCAACTACATGGGAGTCCAGCGACATAGCCATTATGCCACCTGCTGGTCCCTAGGACAATGAAAAAGTTCTGAAAGTAGATGGTTGTGGTTGCACAATAGTGTAAATGTATATAATGCCACTGAATTATACCCTTAAAAGGGTTAAAATAATAGGTTTTACCACAGTAAAAAGAAGTAGTCACATAAAAGATATATTAAATGACAGGACCAAAATATTACTATAAGAAAAAGATAGAAGAGGGCTCTCTGGCGGCATGGTAGTTAAGGCAGTTGGATCACACATGGCCAAGCCAACTATGAGGTTCAAGTCCCAGACCCAGGGCTTGAAACACCCCCTAGGCACATGTGCAGGTATATGTGCATGCTTGCATGCATGCCTAAAATCCGTGGGGGAAATAGAGACGGGATTGTGCATTATCAACCTCCTGGTGGGGTGCTTTCTCAGTCTCTCTTTTGTTCTGTCTTTCTCCAGTGAGCATTCATGCCCTATAGTAAAACTCAAGGAAAAAAATGAAGATACAGAAAACTATATGTGGCATACATTGACTTTACCTCCAAGTATTAAACTTTTATTTTTCTTTTTTTTTTTTCTTTTTAAATTGGCAATGGGTGCTTGAATTCAACAGAGAGAAAAAGCGAAGGAGAAAGCACCTCCCATTGAGTCATGGTCATGCTACAATCCCTTTTCCTCCTTAGTCCTTTCTGGACTTTGACATACATGCCCATGTACCTTGTGTGTTTTTTTCAAGCTGTCAGGGCCTGAATTCAGACCACAGTCATCCACATGGGACCCAGCTCTATAAACCACTATGCAACAAGGCCAGCCTCCAAGTATCAGATCCTGTGGGCCAGGAGGTGGCATGGTGGTTCAGGTACTGAACTCCCACATGACCAGTTGTGGTTCAAGTTCCGAACCTAAAGGCTTCCTTTCTCACTGTCTGTCTATGTATCTCTTTGTCTGTCTGTCTGTCTGTCTTTAGTGAGCCCATGTACCCTATAGCAAATTTAAAACAATAAATTTTTTTCAAAAATTAGGTCTTATCATATTACACAAGTTAAAAATTAAAATAGGTAATATACACTATTTTATTGATACATTAACTCTTGTACAGGGCCAACCAGGTAGCCATGGAGTTTAAAGCTTCTGGATCCCACATGGTGAACTGCAGTTTACAGTCCCAGACCTGGCAACTTGAAAAACATACCAGGCACATGTACATGTGTGCCCCAAATCCCCAGAGAGTGGAGAAGGGGTTGGGTATGGTCATCCTCCAGGAGGTGCTTTCTCATTTTCTCTGGCAAGCACATGTACCCTACAGCAAACTTATAACAACAACAATCTTAAAAAAATTTGTGGTGGGACCAGCAGTTGGTGTAATGGCTATGTCACTGGACTCCCATGTAGTCGACCACAGTTCAAGTCATGGACCCAACAGCTTAAACTCATGCTGGGCGCATGGCATGTGTGCGTTTGTGCCCAAGATCCCAAGAGAGTAGAGAAGGGATTTCGGCATGGCCATCCCCCCCCCAGGGGGTAATTTCTTGTTTTCTGTCTCTGTCTTTCTGGCAAGTGTATGCACCCTATGGCAAAAATCTCTCCCCCCTCCCAAAAAAAAAGAAAAGAAGTGTATTATACTTGGCAAAGAATAATTATAGTAAGTTTATGTATTGTGTTGAATATTTTAATATATCCTAAAAGTTAATTTATAGTATCTTTATAGCTTTTGGTTAGTCGATTAAAATTCAAATGTCAAACTTCTGAATTTTTTTTCCTTCTAAGTAATCTCATTATAAGATGTTTAAGAATTAAAAATTTGTACTGAAAGCTTTTTAATAACAATTTGAGACCAGCAAGTAACATCGTGGTTAAGGTGCTGGACTCCCGTATGGCTGACTGCGGTTCAAATTCTGGACCTGGAGCTTGCTTTCTCATTCTTCCTGCCTCTCTCTGTCTTTCACTAGTCAAACTGAAGAACAATAATGATAAATAAAATTAAATGAATCATTCTTTTTTTAAAAAAAGAAATTTGATGTATATTTATTTTTTTAAATAGGTTCCAATTTATTGTACCTAAAGAATGGAATAGCAAGTACAGACCCGTGTGTATTCATCTTGCTGGAACAGGAGATCATGTAAGATTTTCATATAACACCTTAATCCCTAGAAAATTTGCTAACATTGTCTCTTTAACATATATTGTTACTATATTCTTTAAGTATGTCGTATTTTCTTTCCTTAGCATTACTGGAGGCGACGAACACTAATGGCCCGTCCTATGATTAAAGAAGCCCGAATGGCTTCTTTATTGTTAGAAAACCCTTATTATATCCTTTTGTGATACCTAAGAAATCTTTTCTCTTGGTTATTTATTATATATTTAATCACCAAAAGGAATGATAGATAGTAACCATCTTTTCCAAATTTGGTGAATTTAGTCATCACTTCCGAAAATACTTAAGCAAGAATGGAAATAAGTAAAAAAATTACTTCATGTCTTCTAAAAACTAATGCAAGGATTATACGTCTACTGTACAATAAAGGTAAATCGTACTTCTATTTCTTGTGAGACTTCTGAATTTTAATATTTATAAGTCAATTGCAATGAAAGAGACTCATTTAAATGCATTTACAGTTATCAGTTGAGGATTAGAACAGTTCTTAACTTAACTTTCAAGATGATGCAGACTATTCACAGAAGAAGAAATGAAACTGACAATACAGATTTAAAGAAACGTCCAACGTCACTGGTAATACAGAGAAATGATAAAGCAACAGTTACCTAAGATTTTAAAAATGCAGTATAAACAAGGCTACTATGAAATAGATCTGCTCATTACTAATAACTTTGAAAATCAGTCAAACCTTCGGAAAGCATTTTAACCATACGCAGTAGGAGTTTAAAATATCTCATATCCAGACTAAAAGGTGGTGGGAAGGATAAGGCAGCTGAATCCCACATGGCCAACTGTGCAGTTTGAGTCCTGGACCCAGTGGCTTGAAAAAAATATGCTGGGCACATTTGTGTTGAGTTCCCCAAATCTCAAGAGCAGAACGGAGAAGGAATTTGCAACGAGGGGTGATTTCTCACTTTTTCTCTGTCTCTGTTAAGTGCATGCACCCTATATTCATTTTTTAATATAAAAAATGAATTTTTTTAAAAAAACTAATATCCCTTGACAGAGTGATTTGGTTTCTAGAGCAATTATTTTAAGGATAAAGCTAAAATAAAAATTAAAATGCTAGAAAAATAGATTTTTATATAGCTTTACTTATAATAATAAAGCATTAGAAATAGTATAAATGTCAGTAATAAAGAAATTATTGAATAGGGACCAGCAGTTAGTGTAATGGCTATGTCACTGGACTCCCGTGTAGTCGACCACGGTTCAAGACCTGGACCAGATGGCTAAAACTCACGCCGGGCGTGTGTACGTGCGTGCCCATAATCCCGAGAGGAGAGTGGAGGAGAAGGGATTGCGGCATGGCCATCCCCCTTGGGAGGTGATTTCTCGCTTTCTGTCTCTCTGTCTCTCTCTTTCTGGAGAGTGCACCCACCCTATAGCAAAAGCCTCTCCAAGAAAAAAGAAATAGTATAAATGTCTACAATAAAGAAATGATTGAATAGGGACCAGCAGTTAGCATAATGGCTATGTTGCTGAACTCCTTTGCAGTCGACCATGGTTTGAGTCCCGGACTCAGTGGCTTAAACTCATGCCGGGCCTGTGTGCGTGTGTGCCCGAGATACCGAGAGGAGAGTGGCGGAGAAGGGATTGTGGTGTGGCCATCCCCCTGGGGAAGGGGATTTCCTGCTTTCTATCTCTCTGTCTCTTTCTGTCTTTCTGGTGAGCGCCCCCACCCTAAAGCAAAAACCTCTCAAAAAAAAAAAAAAAAAGAAATGATTGAATAACCTGTAGTTCATAATATTGAAAATTTATAAATGTGTTCTGTCTTATTTATTGCTCTATAACTTACTACCTTGGACCTTTTTTTTTTTTTTAAGGAATTATTTATTTAATTTCATTTGTTATTATTATTAAATTGGAACAAAGAGAGGGAAAGGGAGAAAGCAAGTCTCCAAGTCCAGGACTCAAACTGCGATTAGCCATGTGGGAATCCAGTGCCTTTAACCACCATGCCACCTGCTAGTCCCATTGGATCTCTTACTTAACCATTTTTTTTCTTTTAGATCTTTACCATAGGGCATGTGTGCCCATCAGAGAGAAAAGGTGGGGAAGGAGGAGAAAGGACTGTGGGTGGGGGAGGGGAGTGCAAAATCACACCCCATGGGGCGTGGCCAAGCCACAATTCTTTCTCCTCTGTTCTCTCAGGATTTTGGTCACATGAACATACAGACCCAGCGTTTTTAGGGCCACTCTATCTAGTACTTGAATTGTGCGGTAGACCATATGGGATCCAGCACCTTAACCACTACACCACCTGCTGGCCCAACCCTGTTATTTAATCTTTTAGTACCTTAATTTTCTCATTGATAAATAGGAAAAATCTAGTAGAGAACAGAGAATATTAATTACATAATATTGTCTAGGATAGTGCCTGGTAAATAAGCATTCTGTAAGTCTTAACTTTAGTTACTATTTCTTATTATCTAAAGAATTATTTAACTTTATTTATTTAAATTTGACCAGAGAGGGGCAGAGAGAGAAAGAGAGAGAGAGAAAGCAAGCCATTAGGTCCTAGACTCGAACTGCAATTGGCCATGTGGGAGTCCAGGGCCCTTAACCACCATGCCACCTACCAGCTCTCTACTTTAGTTATTATCTACAAATTTACAGTAATATATGAAATATATTTACAATATAAAAGTGGAATATAGAGCTGTGGTAAGACACAGGTATACAGTAAACCTAAAATCAGAAAATTGAAACAAAATGTATGCATAACAAAAAATACTGGAGAAACCGCAGATGGACATAATGGTTACAGCGGTGGACTCACACGTAGTTTGAGTCCTGGACCCGGCAACTTAAAACTCACACTGGGCATGTGTGTACAAAATCCTGAGAAGAGAATGGAAAAGAAGGGATTACAGCATGGCAGTCCCCTTGAGGGGGTGATTTCTCACTTTCTGTCTCTCTCGGTCTCTCTGGTGAGCACATGCACCCTATAGCAAAAATCTCTCTCTCCAAAAGAAAAAGTACTAGAAAAAAACACACGAAAATGTGAATGTGGTTGTCTGTAGAATAGCTTCTCTCCTACATACTTTTTTATATTCCCTATATTTTCTAGAGTATACACACAATAATATAAATGAAAAAAAAAAAAACTTCAAATTTAAACCGAAGGATGCCAGCAGTGGCATGGTCAAGGCATTGGATTCCCACATGACTAACCACAATTCAAGACTCAGACCAGGCACATGTACGTATGTGCCCAAAATCCCAAGAGGAGAATGGAAGAAAAGGGATTGTGGTATGGCCATCCGCCTGGGGGGTGATTTCTCAGTTTCCCACTTACTGCCTCTTTTTCCCTTTCTTTTCACATAGTCTCTGACAACCTTTAAAAAAAATTTTTTAACTAAAAATTGCATGACCCTATGAATACTGAAAGCATTAATTTGTATACTTTAAGTAGGTAAATTTTATGGTATGTGTTGATATCTCAATATAGCTACTTTTTAAAAAAGAAAAATAAGTTGGAAAACCTGAGAACTTAAATAGCATACCTGAGATAACTAGAGAATAGTTATTTCAGTATTAAATTGTGTTCATATTTACCTAATTTGTGTATGTTGTTTTAAGACCAAAAGTATATTTAATTATTTTCAAACTTTCTCTTTGACCCACATTCTTAAATGGCTGCAGGAAACCCAAGGATCAAGTGTAAGTATATATCACCTTCACTTTTACAGTCTTAATTCCTTATTTTCAGCAGGAACAGCAGGATTCAAATTTTTGGTAGCTTTCAGCTAACCATCTCTAGGTTTAATATCTAAATAGTATTAGGGGGGAAATTTTGTTACAGAAACTATAGTAGGAAGATTGACTTTGATTTTTATTTTAAGATTTTTACGTTTTAATATTCGATGAAAAATAATAAATTTTTTCTTAAGAATGATTTTATTTAATTTTATTCATCATTATTATTTTTTAACTTGCCAGAGAGAGTGAGAGAGGGAAAGTGAGAAAGGAAGTGCCAGGTTGGGGACTTGAACCAAGGTCAACCATATGGGAGTCCAGCATCTTAAACATCATGCCCCCTCCCAGCTCCTAATAAGAAATTTTAGTAGGCCAGCTAAAGATAGATTTTATTTGTGAAACATCAAGGAAAATGATAAAACTTTTTTATTTTTTTACATGCACCTATTGCGTTTTTCAAACCAACAGGTCTAGGACTTACCATGTAGTCAGCACCTTAACCACCACACTACCTATAAGCCCCTGATATATGTACTTTTATGTTTAAAAAAAAATTATTCATTTATTTATTGTGATTTTCAAGCCACTGGGTATGGGTCTTGAACTATAGTCAACCAGCACCCTAACCACCATGCAACCTGCTGGCCCCTCCCTGATCTGGTTTTTAAAGGCTTATATTGGCTTACCGGAACAAGAGTAGCAGTAGAGAAAAAATCATTGCAGGACACTATTGCGATGATTTGGAAGAGAATGACTTTAGAGTAACTGAGGTAAGGGCCAGAGGGGCGCATAGTGGTCAGGGCACTGGACTCCCACACGGCTGACTGTGGTTCAAGTCCTGGACCAAGCAACTTGAAAATCACTCCAGGTATGTCTCCATGTGTGCCCAAAAATCCCAGGAGGAGAATGGAGAAGCGTTTGCAGAGTGGCCAGTACCCTGGGGGGTGATTTTTCACTTTCCCTTTCACTGTCTCTCTCCGGCAAGCACATGCACCCTGTGGCAAAAACCTAAAAAAAAAAAAAAAAAAAGGAGGGGGAGGAGAAAATTACAGTAGAGTAAGAAAGATAGGTAGAAATTATGATAGGCTCGAAATATAACTAAAGTTGAAATAAAAAGATCCTTTGATGACTTGGATACTGTAAGCAGAACATTGAGCATTCTGACTTGGATGTGCTGAAGTTCTGATGTCTGTTACACCTGAAGGTGGAGAAGTCCAGTAGGGAGTTGGTAGTGTCGGAAATACAGATTTGCAGACAACATGCTGTGCAGTCAGTGCAGAAGAGAGGTATAGATGAAAGTGGGGTGAGGGGAGACAAACTGGGTACCATAAGGAATAGTTTAGAATGAACCTTGATCATTTCAAGTGAATTTTGTGAAACCTTGTCAAAAAACTGAACTTCAGGACCAGCTCATGGTGTGGTGGTTAAGGCAACTGAATACCAGATGGCCCAACTTCACAGTTCAAGTCCCAGACTGGGCGGCTTGAGAAACACATTGGGCACTTGTGTATGTACCTAAAATCCTGAAAGGGGGGAGAAAAGGAAGAGAAGGGTTTGCTGCATGACCATTCCCCGTGGGGAAAGATGCTTTTTCACTTTCGCTTTCTCTCTCTCTCTGGTGAGTACCCTATGGCAAAATTACTTATAAGTAGGTAAGAGAGAGGAAGGGAGGAAGAGAAGAGGAGAGAAGAGAGGGAACCAGCCAGTGGTGTGCACTTCAAATTCCCACAGCTTGAAAAACGACACATACATGTGTGCACCCGAAAGCCTGAGAGGAGGAGAAAATGGAGAAGGGAGTGTGGTGTGACCACCTTCCATGGGAAGGAAAAACAGAAAGAACAAAAGAAAAACTAAACTCTGAGCTAAATAGTTTTAAGAATTTTCACTCTGGAACCAACCCCTGAACTCAGCTCATTTTTATTCTATCCATAGGTTTGTTAAAAGCCAAAAATAATTTTTTGAGGTGTAGTGAGACACGTCCCGAGTTTAAAAGACTGATTGACTTTGGAGTCATACAGACTTAGGTTGGAATTAGTAATTGCCATTACTAATTGTATGATCTTAGCTTCTAAGTTATCAGTTTATAAAATTAGAATATTATTTAATTTCTTTCGTGCAGAATTCTTGTGAGAATTACAGGTAATGTTTATGAATTATCTCACGTATTTTTTATTCAAGAAATGTAATGGGGTCTATTGTATTTTATTTTTCTCAGTAATTCATCATAAGTAAGAAATGACTTGCAATTTATATCACAAAATTACTACTCTCCCTGTCTCTCTTTTAAAAGCCATCTTAAGTCTGTTTTCATCAGAAATGATTAAACAATTTGAGACTGAGCCCATCATTGTAAATAACTACTCTCTCAAAACTTCAAATCAGTAACTTCTATTTAAAGTACAAACTAGGGCGGACCAGAGAATTCAGGACAAGTAAATAGGAGGATTATGAAATCGTCTATAGAATATTACTTGAGAATTGAAAACAGAGACAAAGATAAGTGGACTCTCTTTTTTTGTTTGCTTGCTTTCTTTCTTTCTTTCTTTCTTTCTCTTTGGAGAGGTTTTTGCTATAGGGTGTGTGCGCTCACCAGACAGACAGAGAGAGAGAAAGCGAGAAATCACCCCCCCCTCCAGGGGGGATAGCCACGCTATAATCCGTTCTCCATTCTCCTCTCAGGATCTTGGGCACGCACGCACACGCGCCCAGCATGAGTTTAAGCCACCGGGTCTGGGACTCAGACCGTGGTCAGCTACATGGGAGCCCAGTGACATAGCCATCACGCCAACTATTAGTCCCTGGACTCTTTCCGATGAAGCATCAGTATCATCTGCTTTGAAGGATATCATAGTTTATACACATAAAGAGAAACCCTACCTTCCAGACTTAGAACTCATAGGGGTCTTTTTAAGAGTGTGGACATAGCTCTTTGGAGATCAGGAATCTTTTTGTCCACACTTGTCATTCCTTTTTATACCTGTTTTTTACATGTAATTATTATCCATGGGCACACAATAGTCTGATAAAAATGAATTTTGTCATACTTTGACAAGATACAAGGATGGTTCTGGGGATCTAAAAAGAGGTCTGTCTGCCTGCCTTTCTTTCTTTCTCTCTCTGTCTCTCTCTCTCTCTCTCTCTTTCGTTCTTTCTTTTAATCTTGCCAGAGAGAAAGTATTCCCTAATGGAATGTAGTCATGTTGTAATAATCTCTTCTCCATTTCTTCATTCTGTCAAGATTTGGGGCATGCAAGCTTACATGCCCAGTGTTTTTCAAGTCACTGGGGCTGGAATGCGAGCAGCCAGATGGATGGAATCCAGCTCCCTCAACCAATAGACCACAGGACCAGCCCTGTTTTTCTTTTTATCTATAGTGATAATGTCACTAAAAATTGATAGTATAGGAATCCATACTTCTCATAAATATTCTAAAAGTTTTAAGACCACTCTCAAATACATAAGCTATTTGTATCTGGATTTCAAAATATTTATTGAAATATTTCAATATAAATTGAAATTTGGGACCAGCAGATGGCATAATGATTATGTCTCCGAACTCCCACGTAGTCAACCATGGTTCAAGTCCCAGACCTGGCGGCTTACAACTCCTGCCAGGTGTGTGTGCATGTGTGCCCAAGATCCCAAGAGGGGAATGGAGGAGAAGGCATTGTGGGGTGGCCATCCCTTCTGGCGGCGGGGGAGGGGATTTCTCACTTTCTGTCTCTGTCTCTCTCTCTGTCTCTCTCTCTCTCTGGCAAACACACATGCCCAATAGCAAAAATCTCTCTTTAAAAAATAGTTGAAATTGTATAAAGATTATATGCTGCAGAGGAAATATACATTATTTTGAAGGTTAAGGTGATTAATGTGTAGAACAATGTTATGTTAGCAGCACTTTACTATCAGTATCATCAGTGGAGTTTTATTTAGCAGTCTAGTCTTTTAAAAGAAACACAAAGTCTGACTGTTGTAAATTTACCTATGTTCAAATGTAAATGCATAACATAAGTCATTTTCTGTTTTGTTTTGTGAGACTAGAAGGTCCAGCTTGAAAAACGTGTCTGACCTTTTTGTGATGGGAGGAGCTCTTGTTTTAGAATCTGCAGCTCTCTTGCACTGGCTAGAGAGAGAGGGTTACGGACCTCTGGGAATGACCGGGATATCCATGGGAGGACACGTAAGCCTTTCCATTTCAGCTTATATTTAATTGTGATTGTATTATAAGATCTAGGGCATCTGGTTGTTTTAAAAATTCACTTTACGTACAGAATTATTTTAGTTTTGGTGAAAGTAGAATGTATAGATTCTGAACTTTTGTTCTAATTATGAAGTAATGATGCTAGTTTTTTGTATGATTTATGTAGACATTGATTTTACTCCACCAGTTATCTCAAATTGTATTTAATAGTTTACTAAATGTTTGTTATAAAATTTAACTTTTCTGGTTTCAAGTATAAATGCCCAATTGTGCTATTAGTCAAGATAGCTATTGGGAAATACTTTTCATTTATCTCTTATCTCCATTCCCCAGTATCACCAACCTACTTTACCTTTGTCTGTCTTACAGAGTGTAGGAAAATGGACTTCTAATCGGTTTCTCTGTTTCTACTCTTTTCTCTTACTAACCTCCCCCCTCCCCCCGTCAGAGGATGCATACTCCTACCAGAGAGAGAGAGTGTATGGGAGACTCCCAGCAAGATATGAGGATATGATCATGGTGCATTCTTTTTCCTGCATTTCTCCTCCCATCAGGATTTTATGCCAGCCCAACTAATAGTTGTTGGGGGTTTTTTGTTTTTGTTTTTGTTTTTATCTGAGAAGCCATTTTAAATCTCAAGTGTGTCTTGACTAATAGCTTTTAAAACACATACTTGTACAAATTTGTGAATCAGAATGTGATTTACATTTCCTTTCTTCTTTTTTTAGTTTGCCATAGGGCGTGTGTGCTCACTAAAGAGAGAAAGTGACAGAAAGAGAGGAAGAAAGTGAGAAAATAACTCCTGGAGGGATAACCAGGCCACAGTCCCTACTCCATTCTCTTCTTGGGATTTTGGGCATGCACACACACATGCGTCCAGTGTGCTTGTCAAGCTTGGTCCAAAACTCAAACTACACTACACCATTGGCCACCCAGCCGCCTTAACCACCATACCACCTAGCTTGCCCCAACACTTCTTTTCTTCTTACACAGTGGAAAAAAACTTCCAGTGAAAGGTCTTGAGGTTACTTAAAATTTTCTATTATACTTCTTTTTTTTTTTTCTATTATACTTCATTGTTTTTTGTTTTGTTTTTGCTATAGAGCATGTGCACTTATCAGAGAGACAGAGCAGAAAGTGAGAAATCACCCCAAGAGGGGATGGCCACACTGCAATCTTTTTTTCCTCCATTATCCTCTTGGGATTTTGGGCATGCATGCACATGTACCCAGCCTAAGTTTAAGCTGCCAGATCTGGGACTCAAACCATGGTCAACTATGTGGGAGTCCAGCTATATAAGCATTATGCCATCTTCTGGTCTCATACTTCATTGTTTTTTTTGTTTTTGTTTTTGTTTTTTTTTAAGAATTATTTTATTTAACTTTATTTATTATTATTATCATTATTATTTTCCAGTTTTGATCAGAGAGACACAGAGAGAGAGAGAGGAAGTGAGAAAGCAAGCCGCCAGGTCCGAGACTTGAACCGTGGTCGACCATGTGGGAGTCCAGTGCCTTTAACCACCATGCCACTTGCTGGCCCCTTACTTCATTGTTTTCTAAAGGGGATAGTGAACTGGCTCTGGAGCCTAGCAGTTAAGGGAGCTGGATCCCACATAACCGTCTACAGTTTGAATCCTCACCCCAGTGCCTTTGAAAAACACCCCAGTGCATATACATAGGTACCCCAAATCCTGACAGGATGAATAAATGCAGAAGGGATTGCAGTGTGACCATGTCCAGTTGTAGGGTACTTTTCTCTATTTCTCTTTCTCTCTCTCTCTCTCTCTGGCAATTTAAAAAGCAATAAAGAGGAAATGGTATAGTGTTGATTTTATGATTTGGGAAGTTTAACAAGGTTGCTACATATTCTCACTAATGTTTATAAATAGCCTTTGTGTTCATGCCTTATCTCACCAATTACTACTTGAAGTACTTCTTAATATTAAATATATTTTAGAAACTTAAACAAAAGCTCTCTAAACTGACTGAGTTATCATATTACAGATGGCTTCCTTAGCAGTATCCAATTGGCCTAAGCCCATGCCATTAATTCCATGTCTGTCATGGTCCACAGCATCTGGGGTCTTCACTACGGTAATTTAATTTCTGTTAATATTTAGGTAGCTACATATAATTAAAGGTAGTTGTTTTAAGGGTCCCCCTAACTACTACGGTGTTTGGTGATGCACCAGAGGGAATCTCAGGTCTTGGCATATAATCATCCTCGTATCTAAGACTTCACCATGTAACTGTAACAAAGGGATAGAACAGAAAGTCAACAAAAGAAACAGCATGAGGCCAAGTGCAGAGAAAACCAGGAACAAGCTTCTGTCTTCTCCCAGCATAGTCTCACAGTGGGTCTTAACTCCTCCAGCTGTAAGTTGTGACAATATGTGCAGAGCGCTGCCATCAGTGAGGCTCACCTGATGAGCCTAGCAGTCCAGGGTTTTTTTATTAGGGGCCAAAGACTTAGGCACCCTTTTGTCTCACTTGTACCAAAAATCCAGGAGGAACGCAGGAGTTCAGCAGACACTATCTTACTTTAGAAATAGTGTAGGTACAATGACTCACTTTTATCATTTAGGAGAAGTTTTATATCAACTTAAAGAACTATTTACTGGTCAAGTTCTTAGACTTCAAGGACTGACTTTACAAGTACTTTTTTTTTTCTTAAAAGAGATTTTTGCTATAGGGTGTGTGCTCACCAGAGAGACAAGAGAGACAGAAAGCAAGAAATCACCCCCAAGGGGGAATAGCCATGTTGCAATCCCTTTTCCTCCATTTTCCTCTCAGGATTTTGGGCACACACAGGCACCCAGCATGAGTTTTAAGCCACAAGGTCCAGACTTGAACTGTGGTCGGCCATGTGGGAGTCCAGCAACGTAACCATTTGCTGGCCCCATAAGCTGGACTTTCTAATCATAGGGAATCTGAAACCTGCTATGTTAATTGAAAGTATTGGGTAACAAATTTTATAATGTGATTTGATCTTAATTTAGTTTATTATTTCAGGGTGTCTTGAGTAAGTCAATTAATTGGAGAGAGCTGGAAAAGCAATATTATACACAGACAGTATACGAAGAAGAAATTATTCACATGCTTGAATATTGCGGAGTAAGTATATTAATTTTCACATAACATGGTGTGATTGTATATTTAATGATTCAGAATTTTAAACCATATAATATAGTAAAATTTTAGAAATCTAAATTCCACTTTTTACATTTTTCAATTCTTTATCTTAAAACACAGAGGGCCAGCAAGTGGCATGTTGGTTAATGTGCTGGACCCCCATATAGCTGATGGTAGTTTGAGTCCAGGACCTGGCAGCTTGCTTTCTCACTTTGCCTCTCTCTCATTCTCTCTCTCTGGTCAACCTACATTAAAAAAAAGAATGAATAATTAAATACATAAATAAATAAAAATTAAATAATTCTTTAAAAAATTTTTTTCTTAGAAATTTTTGTCATAGAGCATGTGTTAGCTCACCAGAGAGACAGAAAGCGAGAAATCACCCCCCAGGGTGGATGACCACATTGCAATCCCTTCTCCTCCAGTCTCGTCTCGGAATTTGGGGCATGCATGCATATGTACCCTATGCGTTTCAACTGCCGGGTCCAGGACTCGAACTGCAGTCAGCCTTGTGGGAGTCCAGTGATATAACTGTTATGCCATCTGCTGGTCCTAAATAAGTAATTCTTAAAAAATCAAAAACAAAAACACAGAGGTGCCAGGCAGTGGCCTGGTGGGTAAGCTAGCTGGATTCCACATGGCGAACTTGTAGTTCGAGTCCCAGACCTGGTGGTGTTAGACACAAACTGAGTGTGTATGTATGCCTGCCCAAGATCCTGAAAGTAGGGACATATAGAAAAGAAAGCATTGCAGCTTGACCATCCTTCATGAGAGGAGGGTGCTTTCTCACTGTCCCTTTCCCTGTCTCTCATAGGTGAGCACATATACCTTCTGCCCAAAAAAAAGGAGAACATTTTGAGAAGATAAAGACAAACACAACTACAACCTAGATCAAAAAGAGAACTTGATCATTGAACCCAAAACTCCTATGTGTCTAAGTCGCAAGGCCTTTTCCCTCGTGCCCACTATTAGTAATCATTATCCTGACTTAGTATTATAGTAATAATCCTATTAATTAGAGCTACAGTAATTACTCCTTTCTGTCTTTAACTACCCAAATTTGCATCCCTAGACACTGTAGTTCTTTTAATCAATAAGTCTCTTCCATCTCTTTCTCTTCCCTATAATTTACTTCTTAAACTTGGGCTATTTGCCTTGTGGCATTCCTCACAATCTAGATTTTTCTGATTACATTCTCTTGGTACAGTTCAGCACATTGCTCTATGTTTGCAAATTGGCAGCTGGATCTAAAGCCTTAATTGCTGAGTTTTGGTTTCTTTCACAAGGTCCACAGGAAATATATAAAGTCTGGTTGCCTCATTCTTTGTGACGTAAGTCTCAACCAAAGGCTAATAACTATGTCTAGTAGTTCATTGAGAGTTATACATGCTGTTACTTAATTCTTCCGCTCTTTCCTTTGGTTAGTTGGAATACTTTTATAAAGAGGCTCTCCCTAGATAGTAGTTCAGTTCATATAAGGAAGGTAAGGTAAATGCTTGATTCCTTTCCTTCCTTTTGAATCTCACAGTTATAAAGTATGTCTTGCATAATCTCAAAGGGTGGTTATTTAATTGCCTAAGACCCTTATTACAAAATAACTGTACCTGCTAGTTAGTTCCCTGTGTACTACTATCCATGTAATCAGGAGGGTACTTATATTTAAAAGCTTATGGGGTCAGCAGGTGGCATGGAGGATAGGGCACTGGATCCCACATGACTGATGTCACAATTCGAGTCCTGGATCTGAGAGACTGAAAAAACTCACTGGGCGCTTGTGGATGCCTGCCCAAAATCCCCAGAGGAGAGTGGAGGAGAAGGGATTGTAGCATGGCCATACTCCCTGGAGGGTGATTTCTCACTCCCCACTCCTTTTCTGGTGAGCACATACACCCTATAGCAAAATTGAACAAACAGAAAAGCTAATGAGAAAAATTACAGGTACTATTTGAAGAACATTCATAAATTTTGGTTGCCTGAAGTGGCTGTGTAGTCTTATCCAGCACTTTTTTTCTCAGAACCAGGTTATGGTAATGAATATTCAGTAAATGTCAGATGAATTCCTTATTGTCTGTGTTTTCTTAATGAAAAGAAGTTAAATTTCTTGGTGTACCACTCTAAGTAATTCTATGCTCTTTTGATCCTTACATTTTCAAATGTTACTTTAATTATTTAGCTTAAAAAATAGATTATATGGTCATATAGTTCAAAAAAAGGTATATTCTGGGCCAGCCTGTTACCCTGTGGTTAAGTGAGCTGGATCCCACATGGCTGACCATACAGTTTGAGTCTCAGACTCAGTAACTTGAAAAATACCTGACATGTGTACATGTGTGCCCAAAATCCTTAAAGGAGGGAGGGGAGGAAGAAAAGGGATTGTGGTGTGACAGTAACTCATGGAGAGTACTTTCTCACTTTCCCTCCCTCTTTCTCTGTCTTCCCCCTCTGGTGAATGCACACACCATCTGCCAAATTTAAAAAAGGAAAAAGAAATTTTTGAGAAAAGATGTATAGGGGCCAGCAGGTGGCATGTGGTTAAAGTGTTGGTTCAAGTCCTAGACCTGGAGGCCTGCTTTCTCACTTTTTCTCTCTCTCTGGTGGGTTCACATGCCCTATCACAAATTAAAAAGTAATAATAGTTAGTAAAATTAAATATTTTTTAAAAGATATATACACACATGTATACTTATATATTACTTATATTAAATAAGTATGTTTTTAAAGATATATATACATATATATACGTATACATGTATGTATACGTGTGTGTGTGTGTGTGTGTATATATGTGTTTGCAGCGAAAAGATTCTATCCCTGTCCCTATTTGCCTAGGTCCTATTCCCTTAAATCACCCCCATAGTATGATTTCATGATTCAGGAAATTTTGGGTTCATATACAAACCAATTCCAGTATAAACTTCTTCCCTCATCCCTTTTTTATGGGTTATACACAAAGGATTTATTTATTTATTTTTAGTTTACTATAGGGTACGTGCAGAGAGAGACAGTGAGAGAGAGAAATCACCTCCCGGAGGCAATGGCCACACTACAATCCCTTCTCTATTCTCCTCTCTAGATTTTAGGCACACACACACACACACACACACACACACACACACACCCAGCATGTTTTTTTTTTAAGTGCCAGGTCTGGGACTCAAACTATGTAGTCAGCTATGTAAGATCCATCTGCTTTACCTCCACACTACCTGTTGGCTGCCGGTTTGATATTTTTTTACCACTATATAATAGTCTACTATAGGGACCAGCAGATGGCATAATGGCTGTGTCGCTGGACTCCCATGTAGTCAACTGCAGTTCAAGTTCTGGACCCGGTGGCTTAAACTCACGCCGGGTGCATGTGCGTGCGTGCCCAAGATTCCGAGAGGAAAATGGAAGAGAAGGGATTGCGGCATGGTCATTCCCCCTGGGGCATGATTTATCATTTTCTGTCTGTCTCTCTCTGTTTTTCTGGTGAGCACACGTGCCCTATAGCAAAAGCCTCTCCAAAAAAAATATAGTCTATTATAATTTATTAACCAGTACAATATTGATAGATATTTACATTGTTTCTCATCTTTCACTAGTAACAGACAGGGCTGCAATGAGTAGCTTTATACATATGTCATAGCACAAATGTAAATTCTGAGAAATATTATTGCTAAGCCAATGGTCCACAGAGACTTCACAAAGCTCTTTGAGGGACCAGCAGTTAGCGTAATGGCTATGTCCCTGAACTCCCATGTAGTCGACCACAGTTCGAGTCCTGGACCCGGTGGCTTATACTCACGCCAGGCGCATGTGTGCCCAAGATCCTGAAAGGAGAATGGAGGAGAAGGGATTGTGGCGTGGCCATCCCCCCGGGGGGTGATTTCTCGCTTTCTATCTCTCTCTCTCAGTCTCTCTGACAAGCTCATGCACCCTATAGCAAAAACCTCTCCAAAAAAAAGAAGAAGAAAGCTCATTGAAAGTGCATATTGGAGGGACCAGCAGTTAGCATAATGGCTATGTCGCTGGACTCCCACGTATCAACCGCGGTTTGAGTCCCGGACCCGGTGGCTTAAACTCACTCCAGGCGCATGTGCATGCGTGTCCATGATCCCGAGAGGAGAACGGAGGAGAAGGGATTGCAGCGTGGCCATCCCCCCGGGGGGTGATTTCTCGCTTTCTATCTCTCTGTCTGTCTCTGTCTGTCTCTGTCTGTCTGGCGAGCGCATGCGCCCTACAGCAAAAACCTCTCAA